CCTAAAGTAATCCTCTCTCCTCTTCAGTCATCACTTCCTTTTTCACAGCCCACACTCCCAAAATTATACTCTTTTCTGGGAAAGCATCTTTCTCAGGGACTTGTAGACTCCTGGAACCTTTGCTTATGTCAGCACACCCTTTCTTTCATACAAGAAATTTTATGGAGGACAGAAGGTTGCTGATGCTCTCCTAGAAATCAGGCAGGAACAAAATTTAATGCTGCCTGTCACTGAAGTACAGCAAATAGAGTACCTGAGTACTGATATCGTGTCTATCAGTGTGAGAGCAAATGTTTTTGCCTGCATTTTCAATTTCTTTAATTAAAGGTGAAGAAGCAAAGTGAAGTTCTGAGATCTTTGGTTGACAATCACTTTTATTTTTCCCCTCATTTTTTGCTTGTAGCATGGCTAGGAGCTGGTAGGACTCATACAAAGTCTAGTTTTACCTATTTCCTGCATTTTTGAAGGAGAGAGGTAAGATCAATCTGAAAATGTACATCTACACTACAAAAACATGAGGATTAGGCAGAAATGTTTCCTCCTCAGGGGTAGAAGTTAAGTTCAGAGTGTTTGAAATCATAGTGATCAGTAAGGCTATGTCAATATGTGGTTAACTTCGACAGTTGCTAGAAAGACCTGGACAACATTATTTGATTCAGGAGAGAATAGAAAAGCCAGTGAAAATGAAAGCCAGTGTCCAATTTAAGAGCAGAGAGGCCTTTCCAAAGAAAAGAGACCAAAGTGAAGGATATGATCACACTAGTCCTCCAAAGAGAGAGCTCTGTCTTTTGAAGTTTGACGGCATTTTGTTCCAACAGTTGTACAAGTACTGCTTTTCGTGGAAGCATAAATAAAATGCTACTGGTAGCGCACATCCAAAGTCTGATACATTAGCCCTTTTGATCTGTAGAAACGTGAAGGAGTCCAGGCTGATAATTTCTGAGGTCACGGAGCACTGAAGGAAACTTTCATACTCAGAATATCCAGAAATTATATTTCTTCTCTTTAACTACCTTGTTAGGCTGTGCCTGGGTCAATATTTACCTGGATCAGTGTTTACTAAGCTGGGGTGCATATTTACTCACATTTTTAGTAAAGGGGCTCCACTGCTAACTGTGAAGAACAGTTTATTACACTTAATGGGAAGAAATTATTATGCCTAGTGTAGGAAGAAGAGACAGTCTGTAGTACCTAGTGAATGTGGAAGATGAAATTCTAGGAAGCTGTTCATAAAAGGCCAGGTGTGGGATACCAAGGAGGTGGAAAGAGTTCCCATGAGGCAGCCAAGCAGGATTAGCTGTTTTCATCCCTTCCTGATGGGGATTGGCACTTACCTGATGGGGACTGGCACTTAACTCTCTGTTTTATGAGAGCTTTGAGGCAGACTTGCCTGCCCTTCTTTACCACACCAACCACAACAATGCTAACCAGTCTTTGATCATCAAAGCATGGATTTATTAGAAGGCAGCCCGAGAAAATGCCTTCTTCTCTAGTGACAACTTAGAATTAGTAAGAATCTGTATCTCTGGGACACAGGACACCATGTTCCTGCAGAAGAGATCCTGTCTTCCTGCTTTGGTTTCATTCCAGGAGCTTTCTGGATTGCAATAAATGTTACCCATTTTTTCCCAGACTCCCTTAAGAAAGCCTTTCTTTCCACACCCAGGGACAGATTATGCCAGCTCCTCTGAGGAGTCTTCAACCTGTTCTGGCAGCACTGAGTGCCTGCTGGACATGCCTCTCTTCCAGCTCAGCCACATGCTCCAGGAGCAATTTCCCCAGGAAATGCTTTCTCCTTACAGGGCAGTGTTCATCTCTTTCCTGCAGAGATTTCCACTGGTCCCAGGTAAAGCACTCACCAGCAGGCAGGCCTCCTGCCTTCTTTCCCACCACTGCCCTTTGAAAGGTCCACAAAATAAGCTAAGAGCAAGTGAAGCAGATGCTATCCATCAAAATTTAATAAAAATATTGTTATATAAATAACATTAACATGCAGTTGCCTGTAACTTTCTGGGAATCGGTATTTGGAGCAGCATGTAGCTCTAAAAGTTTGTTAAATTGGAGTAATAAAATCACATAGAAACCAAGACTGTTCTAATGATGATTTTTTATATTGACTAAGCAGTAGTCAAAGTAGGTCAGACTGGGAAGGATAGCTGAGTGACACTGGGCCCTGTGTATGACCAAGGGCCATAAAATTACATCATCACTTAATATCGTTCTTTGGTTGGCAGTTTTTTCTGTGGTTGTTTATTTTCTGTGTGACACAGCAGGGGGCAAAGAGTGGGATTCAAGGAATGCTTGTATCAGAAAGGATCCACATTCCCATGGAAGCATGAAAATATTGTGTGTGCAGAGAAGGGCAACAAAGCTGGTGAGGGGTCTAGAGAGTAAATCCTAAGAGGAGAGCTGAGGGAGCTGGGATTGTTTAACCTGGAGAAAAGGAGGCTCAGGGGTGACCCTTATCACTCTCTACAACAAACTGATGGGAGGACCTAGCCAGGTGGGGGTTGGTCCCTTCTCCCAGGCATCCTGCGGTGGGATAAGAGGAAATAGCCTCAAGCTGCAACAGGGTATGTTCAGATTCGACATCAGGAAGAATTTATTCATGGAAAGGGTGGTTTGGCACGGGAATGGGCTGCCCAGCAAGGTCATGGAGTCACTATCCCTGGAGATGTTCAACAAAAGACTGGAGTTGTCACTGAGGGCCATGGTCTAGTTGACAAGGCAGTGATCAGTCAAAGTTTAGTCTCAATGACCTTGGAGTTCTTCTCCAGCTTAAACAATTCTGCGATTTCTTGATTCAAAACAATTATTAGGATATTTCATCAATAGTCAATGTCAAAAATCCTCTCCCATTCAGTTGCTCTGTTCCACCTAACTCCACTTTGCATTTCAGTAAGGGCTGGCCACCTAACAAACTAACTCTTCTACTTCTGGGTATCAACAGGTAGAATAAATGTTTTCATTGTTCCTAAAGCTCATAGCATCTTTTCCCCTCTGAACTTCTTCGAATGGACTTCGTGAAAGAAAACAGAACCCTCAGTCCATCCAGCAGACACCCTGTGCTCCACCTGTTCCCACCTATATCTACATATTTTGGTTTGAATCCTAATAATGCCTAAGACAAGGAGAAGGAGAGATGGCTGTTCATCCCCACCCTGCCTCCAAAGAAATTACTGAGGCATTCAATTACAACACCCTTCAACCCCATGACAGATATCAGAACAAATGTATTAAGGCTGTGCTGTGAAAGGATATGAATGGGTTTTGTGAAGCAAACTGACAACAAGTTTACCCTGACCTGTTCCTCATCAAAATCTTGCTTTGAAATGTTTTTAAACACCAGATGCAGCTGGTGACCAAGGTTCAAATAACTGACATTACTAAGATGCAGCCAAGATTTCAGCAAGCCTCATGGCGACACTTCTGGACAAAGATAAGGCTTTGTTGTAAGCATGAAAGCTTGGAACACCACTAATCATATGTAGGAAAATGTCACAACAAAAACCATTAGCAGTCTTGAATCCAGTGGAGAGGCAGGGAAAAGAAGTTAGCTTCAGGACTAGGGGTGAATAACTGATCCTTAAGTTTTAGAGTGAGCTATATAAGGAATCTGTAATGTAAGATGCCTGATTACACCTTTGTTCTACAGAGACCAAAACTAACAGACAATTACTCTACCATGCTTTCTTCCACCAAAGGAGAACAATTTAAAGATCTGCTATAAGGGCTCTTCTTGAATTTAAATGAGAAGGACAGCTAAACTTTCAAGAGTCTATTATGTTTCTAAAAAATCCTGACTTCTTTTAAGCATCATTTTACAGGCTTTAATTTCAGATTTGCACCTGGTCTTTGCCTAGGGGCAGAAATAAAAAGGATGCAAGTCAAAACACAGAGACACAAGCCTTCAGTATCTAGATAGTACAGCTAACAGCACAGTGAAGTTACACATGTTCACAATGTGTTCAGTTTACTAAATAAATAGCGATTATTGTATTTTCTCTCATTTCAGTTCAGACTTTCAAAATTATGTAGGAATAAAGATATTGCATTTTGTCTTCCAGTTACATTTGCATAAAACCAGAAATTACTAAAATAAAATATAAATCTAAACAATAAGTCAGATGCCTCTTTCATCCCATATTTTTAAAAAAATCTCTTCTGTCTCTTAAAAAACCCTAACTAACCAAAAAAAACCCACTAAAAAATTAAAATATACAAAAAACCACCAACACAAAACCCAAACAGTTAAAGCTAATTTCCCCTCTGTTTTGCTGTCCTGGTGAGAAGGCAGCGAAGGAAAAAAAAAAAAAAAAGCAAAGTTTATATAAAGCAGCTCTAACCACAAATGTTAGAATCATTTTACTAATGAAAACATGATTTTCCTATATATCAAAATCATGCTGTCATTTGAAAAAATACATGCAAACTCTATTATTAGACAAGAGAATAATGTATTAAACTAAATACTACTTAGTTTGACAATGATTATAGCATAAGCAAAGGCAGGTTGATATCTGTTTAAATAGTTTTAGTCAAAGCTAACCCTTTTCTTCTGATACTAATCTCTAGATTGCCTAACTCAAAGATTAATTTTATATAATTTCCTTGATTTCCAAAATCTATAAACAAGAGGGAGAGTTAAAAATTTTTTTCATTAATGAATCGTAATCCCCCCTGTAGTTAAAACCAAGAAAACTTTCCTAAATATATGTTGTGGGGACATAAATAAAGTAAGTAAGATGAATTACAGCTAAGAATCTGTCTTATAATGTGCAAGTAGTTTGGGATTGTAAACAGATGAAAGAGAAATAAAGCAAATGAAAAGGAAAAAGGAGGAAAAGAAAGCAAAAGAGCTGATAAAGTTTCTGGCTGCAATACAGGAGACATATCATTACCATATGATCTAATGTGGGTGTCAGCCTGGATTGTGTTCATTGAGAGAAACATTTTTTAACTGTGCTATGGAATAGAAGCAGGAGGGTTTTCCACCAAGTGACAGTCACTGAGCTGAATTTACCCCCTCCTCCTTTCCACACCTGCAAAGCCTTCTGCCTGGGTTGAATATTTAGTTTAATTACATCTCAGCTTTGAGAGCTCCTGTTGCAAATCCCTGGATTAAAAGGTACGGTTTTTAGTAATTCTCTTGAACTATGCTGCACTAATAGAACTTCGGGCAAATCTATGGCAAGAACTATTTGAATTTTAAAAGAAGCAAGTTAAAAATCCTCCTAAATGTTTAGTAATGTTAAGTTTTCTATGCAGCACTTTTGTTTCTTGGAAACATGAGAATACATTCTCAAAGACTGTGCAGATTTCCTACTGTTTATTTGACTGTTCTGTCTCTTGTTTTGATTTGTATAAGCACTGCTGTAGTCCTTTCTTTTTCTTTGCTGTAAACTTTTACAGCAGTATATTCTCTGCAATCCAGTGTTTAGAATCGGTGATATAGAGAGTGTAAAAAATGTGTGTATGCTTACATTTCTGCTTTAAACTGCGCTCTGTGATTCCTTTCTCCTGTGTTTCTTCATATACTTTTCAGACACTGATGAATATAATTTCAATTTCAGAGAAAAAAAAAGCGTAGTAGTAAGTTAAACGGGCTCTGTGTATGCCTTTGTAATGTTAGAAAGTGCTGTGTTACAGGCTACAAACAAGGGAATCATGATTAAAGAAAGTTCTTATGAATGAAATAGTGGAAAAGAAAATTCATGCAGTTGAAACTCCTGTTAACAGAGTTTTATTCTCTAAAACTTTTAACTCCTGTGTTTGCATATATAGATTTTATTGCACAAAATGGGCAAAACATAAAATGGAGGGGAATTTTTTGAATCTGGAACGTATTGTTTAGCTTGTCTTTGTGGAATTTTGAGAGATTTCTGACAGTAGGTGAACTAATAATTTACCCTTAGTATTAAGGTAAACTGACAAGAAGACCACCAGTAGAGTGGTGACGTGAACTGATGGAGCATATTTTCAGGGGTATTTTAAAATGAAATGTGGCCAAGCTACATTTCAATCTATGGTATAGACTCCTATGCTTGTGGAAAGCTCTTCTTCATTGTAAACACATAATTAAAGGAATTTTAAACAGTTATATCCTGCAGACATAAATATTGTGTCACAGAATTCAGATTTTTTTTGTTCTCCCTACTCTTTTTTTTGTAAGTGAAGTGTAAACATTTCTTGGTCATACAGCTTTGTATATATCTTTCCTTTTTTTTATGTTCAATTACACATGCAAACAATAGGAACAGATACATGTGTCTGCAGAATGGATGCGTATATGCCTGAAGATATCTGCTCCTATATCCTGATTAATATGTGTCTGCTGTTTTCTCTGTTGTATCCTCAGATTATATACTTGATATCCTTTGTTGTCCTACAGTTTTCCTTTATAGCCAGCTCTTTCTGATTTCATTAAAGTTTTTACAAAACAGGGACCAAAGGAAAGGCCTGCTACAGGGTTTAACTGAGATAAATGAAGTCATCAATATTAATGTGAATAAGAAGCAAAGTGTGAAGACACTTCCAAAGTGCCTTTGCATTTGTTTTTCTTTTTTGGCTTTTTTGAATGGTAGCAATTAAACTGCAGGATAAGATCCTGATTGTGCATTCTTGGGATGGGTGGTACTTCAGCAGTGACCCTGAGAGGGAATAAAGAAGTTTTAAATATTTTTAAATGTTTTAAAAATGTATTAATACATAAAAAAAAGACTGAGGATGATCTTTAAAGGCCCTGACTGCCACTGCCATTCAAGGACTAGTGTGCAGCATTCCCAATTTTTATTGTTGTTAATATATATTCTGAAAATTAATTTGCACTGGGGAAATGTTTTATTGGTCATTTTCACAAAGCAGTTTTTGTGATGAATGGTGATGGTTTAGCAAATTTTTCTTCTCGTCTGAGATTATTAATAAATTGCATTGTTATTTTACAATAATTTGCACATGATGATTACTGTTTCAAAAATCATGTTTTAGATGAAACCCTGGTAACAGCTCACTGCCATGCATCAACAGCACTTTGCAGTGGCACCCTGACACGTCCCTGTGCACTCTGCCTGCCTGGCACGGGTGTTGGAGGGAAAGGGACACAGTCCCAGTGCCAGTGGGGAGCCAGGGCAGGAGGAAGCACAGGAGGATGATCCACGTGGGGACACAGCCTGCCCCTGCTACGTGTCATGAGTTTACACAGCTCTGGCTGACAGGACCTACTAAAAGTCTCCAGCTGATGTTGGGGTCTGTGATCCCCCTCTGCACATGCTGTCAGTAAGGTGTCTGTTCCAGGAACAGAAGTACTTTCCTGTCCAACTAAGAAAACAAATATGTCCCTGAAAGAGACAATATAAACAGTGTTTTACTCCATGTGGTTTCACTTTGAAGTCTTTGGGATGTCTGAAGATAGTAGGCACATGTCTTCCTGTCAGGTAGATCACAGCAATATAGGCTATGATTTTAAGACACCAGCATATTTTATTAGGCAACCTAATCATCTTCTCAAGAAACAGACCTAAAGGTTTCTGGAGAAATCTACTCTTGGCACCTGTAGGTAGAAATTCATAAAGGAAAATGAACTCAGACACAACATAAATTGTATCTAAATCCAGTCTCATGGCTTTTTTATATATTTAGCTTTTTTCTTAGCACTAACCATTCCTTTTAGAGTACCTGGTGGTAGTATGTTAGAAAGGCAGGCTTCAGTAAACTACTCTCACCTAATATCATCTGTCCATTCTTGTCATCTACCTGGTAGGGTCCATATGTCAAAGCAGAGAGGGAGACAGTCCTCCCCTTCTGCCTCTCCCAGTTTTTTATCCAACAATGAATATGGAGGTGAAAAATGCTCTACCACACCCCAAGCTGTTAGATAACTTCTTCTAGAAAAAGAAATAATCCCAGCTAGCACCCAGCCAAGGTGTTTCTAAGATATTGACCTGAAGATGCAAGTGGACATTTTTGCTTTCATTACAAAGAGCAGCATCTGTATTTAGGACTATACCACCCATTTTAAGAAAAAGCTTATATATAAATGCCAAGTTTCCCTTTGTGTCACTTGGCAATTTGAAGGCAGATTTGGTTTAGGTGTTTTTGGTTGCTTATTTTTTTGTTTATTTTGTTTTTTGGGTTTTTTTGGTGGGCTTTTCAAATCAATTAAAATCAGTAAAGTATGAACTTCATTTTATAAAATACGCAGTAAAAGAAAATAATATTCAGAAAATTAGCTATTCTTTACAGCTTTGGTACAAAACCTGCAAACAGCTGTGCAATTTCTCCTTAATGGACAACAAGACAGCTAGCACAAGCTAGAGTGTGTTGAAATGCATCTAGGCCTAAGTCCTGAGAACATGTATTTCAGCAGCTTTTCTTGTTAATATCTATGGCAATACTTACTTGTAAAAGTTGCTCCTGACCATGAAAGTCTGCAGAATGAAGCCCTAAAGTCCCATTAGAAAGTGTGCACACAACACTTCAAGTATCAATTCAAATGCTTATGCAGTGCAAAGCAGAGGATTCTCAGGGTGTATATCAAAATTTAGAAAGAAAGCCAAGAATATTCAATATTGTATTGAAACACAATACAAACAAACACAAACACAACATTGTATTCCATTTTATTGTGTTGTTTGAACTAGGAAATAAGTATAGTGCATTTAAAAAACTAAAGACCTTCCCCTCTCTTTCCACCCTGTCACTAAATCCTAATCTTTCTCAGTCAGTTTTACTAGGCTATAATTTAAAACACACAGCAAGTCGACACTTAAAAACATTTCTCAAGACATGAAATACTGAACTACAGTGAGTTTGGGAACCTCAGGTTTGTCCCCAGGGTCAAACCCATTGCTATGAAATAAATGCTAATGAAATCAAATAGACTGTTACCTTGGCAGAAAAGAGGCACATGGAAAATGTGGCTTATTGCTTTGACTCTTTTGCATAACAAAGTTGACAGCACTGCCTATTCCTAAAAAATATTACTCTAAATATGCAAACAGATGTGTTTACTGTTGCCTTCAAACTGCTCTGCAAAAAAAAAAAAAAGGCCTATTGACAAGCAGCTACCAGACTCCTATCACATAACTGTCCTATTTTTACAACTCAGTTTTCTTTTATTGAGAGGAACAGTTATGCAATTGGTGGATGTGCTGGACCTCCTTCAGGAGGAACTTTGGGAAGCTTTGGGAAACCGCTACTTTTGTTGTTAATCCGCTGCTTTGAATCCTAGGTCCTGCCGGGCGTCCATGAACTGAGCCATGAGGAGGCTGGCTCTGCTCCTTGTACTCCTGCTGCCAGCATGCTTGGCCAAGCCATTCCACCAGCAGGGCCTCTTTGACTTTATGCTGGAGGACGAGGGCTCGGCCGACATGGCTCCGACGGATGATCCCGTCATCTCCGGCTTCGGGCCCGTGTGCCCCTTCCGCTGCCAGTGCCACCTTCGCGTGGTGCAGTGCTCGGACCTAGGTAAGTCCAAGAGCACCTGCAGAGGCTCTGTGCTCACACTCCAGTCACGGGCCAGCAGCTGGGATGGTGGGGCTGCCATGGACTGACACTTCCTCACTGGCTTTTTGCTAAGAAATGTGCTACAACTACTCTTAACCAGAATTTACAAAGTAGGCCACAAAGCCCTGGCAAGATGGGTGGGCATTGTTGTGACCATGGAGGATGTTTGATTTTTTTAAATTTATATTTTGAATGTGTACATTTCATTTGTTCTTTGAAGTGCCACGGATTTCTCTTGAGGAGAAAATAACTTTTCAAAGTATTCCTTCAGATTAATATTAAATAAATGCAGTGAGGTCAGATGTGGGGATGGAAATATTTTAGAAGATTCTAAATTGTGTGCTCTAAGGTCCAACACCTTTACTCATACTGTCTAGTACCTCAACATAGAAGTCATCCAATTTCCATAGGAATATATAAGCATGAAATAAGCAACGGAATCATATATCCTGGAACCAGCTTTTTGGAGTAAAGAGCTTGGAAACCCACCAAAATAATGAACACAGCATGGAATTCCTTATTAAATATCTTCCTGAGCCACTATACGAGCTGAAACCATGAGAACATTTCTCACAAACTCTCCTTACTCCCTTATGTAAGGGAGGGACTTGTGTGCACAGTCAGAGTAGCAGGATATGAAGCCATGTCTGCCATCATTTGGCTTTTCCATGCAGAAAAGTCTCAAGTAATGAAGTTGACTTCACTGAGACTGTTCTTAGTTTAAACCAGTATAATTCAGTCTTAGTGTACAGTGCAGAAAATCAATTAGAGTTGGTTTTGCTAACAAGAAAACAGACAAATAGCTTCTCATGATTTTATAGAGCTTTTTTTTTTTTGTTTGTTTGTTTTAGTCATCCTAGCTCTTTAAATGTATAGCTGGGTGTTTCTTTTTTCTTGTTATGACGTTGGCTTTGATAATTACTGTAAATCATGGCACAACTCCACCAATTAGAACCTGTGTCTCATTGTGTTAGGGGTTGTATAATTACAGAGAGGAGGGGAAACTTTAGCTACACCCCTAGAAACTTCTGTGAATTTATTAAACTGAGCCACATAATTATGCAACGGATATGTTTGGCAAAGACCCAGTGAACAATGCAAGCTAAGCTGCACGAAACAGAGTGGGCTAACCTAGCCATAATTTCAGAAAGTTTCCACAGTACTGTCCCCCTTGAAAGATGGGGGTTTTTTTGCCATTTAGGTGCCAGAGACAGCAAACATGGAGTGGGGAGTGGGGAGGAGGTTGCCCCACATGCCATGAAAGCCTTAGGTTTTATTGTTGTTACACTTAGTAATGCTGATGGAATTTAAGTTATTTAGAGAACTTGTTCTCAGTCTGCTTCAGTTCTGCAGAATGTAATGAGCTTTCACTTGGTGAAAAAGTAGAGACATTCACACAGGGAACCTTTGCTCCTGTACTTGTTCCTGTGGTCATGCACTTCTTCACACACACATTGCATAAGATACTTCTGGGTTAGTAGAGTCCCATACTGACAAGGAGACTCAGAAATACAGCAATTAGTGCCCCAGGTCAGTGTTTCCCAGATAATTTCAAGTAGGGTGAAAAGAAAGAGATATATTTTGAGCTTTCTTTATACCCACATGCTGCACATCATGCAATGAAAAGATTGTGCTTTTGGATCAACTAGGCTGATAACATCCAGCCATCGGGTACAAAGGAAAAGAGATCTCCCTGGGCTCAAAATATGCAGCCCTGAAAAATAATAAATAATATTTCCCTGGCAGAGCTCAAGGAAGTATTTATCAAGCAGTGCCAGCCTTGGCATTAAGTTTCAGCCATCTTCATCCCAGCCCCTGATGGGACACGGTCCAGCTGGGAGTCTCATGGAGACACAGTTGTTCTGGCTGCCCTGCAAGCAGGGACAGGAGAGCTGTGTGCCACCTGCTTACAGGCAAACCTGCCCTCTACTCTTCTGAATTCACTTCTGTGTGACACACCCAGGCAAAGCCATATTTACCTACTGACCTGAGACAAGGCAGTTATTGGCCTTTTGCTGCAAACTGTGGAGGTGACCTCCCGCGCTCCTGAGCTGTGGGATGAAGGACGCTCGTGTTTCAGGGATCAGGAGCACAATTTGCACACAGAGGCATGAAACTAGCAGTGACAGTTCTACCTCTCTGTTAACCTGGCCTGCTTCTCCCTTCAGCTCTGGGCTTTTCCAACCCAACCAAATTAGCTACATCCGTCCTCCAAAATTGTCAAATTTAGTCATCTAGTCCCATGGGTACTAGTTGAAGAAAAATTTCAGGCACAGTAACAAGGGTCCTCACAAGGACATATTAAGACTTCCTAAATAAATTCTCACAAAGGAAAGTTGAAACCTGAATCAGGATCCTTTCCCCTACATACTCTCTGGCATGGAAGGAGTGTTTACAGCCATGAGGACATGGGTGCAGGGGACATGCCAAGCAAGGCAAATGGAGGACCCTAACATGGGCAACATATGGAGACATTTCCTATTCCTCAGCCTGTTTCTTTTGTGCCTAAATGGGCATTTGCTATTTGTAGATTCTTACTTCATAAGGAAAAAACCAACCATCTGACACAGGATTATGTGACTAAACCACAGGAGAACTATGGAATCCAGAGTCCAGAGATCAGGTTTGTCCCTTTGATCATGAGCACTGGATGGGAATAGCAAAAAAAATAATAAAATCCAAGTTCAATAAAAATAGTGAACAAAAATGCTCAGTAGTCCAATTACACTCTTGTCAGCTGAATTTTTGCATTCCTATAGTCTTAAACTTCAGTCACATCTTCCTAAACACATACCTACAAATTAATTTGTTTTGCTTCCCAGCCAAGAGCTGAGTTGACAAGGAGGATAATGCTGCCTTCCTTCTCACATTCTGAAAAAGAATTCTTTCTAAGTTTTGGTTACTGATGGATCAAAAGCAGAACCCCATTGCCTACATTTCATGAGATGTATTACCTTTGCGAACAGGCTCAAGGATCCTATCAAGGAAGGCCACTGTGCTATCTTTATAAGAGTGCTACCTTTTATTAATCTACCTCCTGTTGTTAAAAGGGAGCCACAGGTACACTTTTTGATCATGCTTCAGTATGAGGCATTGCTATGCTGTACCCAGGCTTTCCATAGGAATCACAGGCATCCTCCTTATTAGAGCACAGTACAGGTGGGGAGTAACTGATGTAGCTGCTCAGAGGCCACTTTTCTTGCTCTAAAGTAATATATACAGGGAAGATGTACAGTCAGCTGGGCAGGCAAACACGCCTCAGAAACCCCAGGAAGGATTAACAGTTCCGTTTAAAGTCTCATCCTCCCAAAGGGAGTCTCAAGCAAAGTTCATCCCAGAGTGTCCTGGTTGGCAGGAGGATGCATGTGTGATTACTCATCCCTGCAGCAGATGCAGGATGCTTCATAAGCACACTCAGAGGTGGTGGTCAGAGCTTTCTTTCATCTTCAGATAAGTCTGGCAGCCCCTTCTAAAGGAGCTGTGTCTCTATACAGGATGCAAGGAGATTGCCCTCCTTGGAGAGTTACAGGGCATAGTTGGGGTCTCTCCATCTGTGTCATTTGGAGTATCCGTGAAGGTTTTGGGGTTTCCTAAGGGTATGTGAGAGAGACATGCCAGCAAACAAAGATCAATTGGTATTACTTCTAAAATTCAAGTCTTAACCACAGCTCAGAAATGCAGGGTTTCTCCAGCTTATATAAAGAAGAGTACATTAGAGCTCAGCATGGATGCTGGAGGGTGTGTTTGAAAAGCACTTTGAGATCAGGAGATGAAAGGTTCACAGATATGTAAAATATTATCAGTAATTATTATTTGGTAACATTAGGCAGTTTATCTGAACAAATAGAGTGTCTCAATATATCAACTGATGGCTCTTCTACACTTGAACCATCGTAACATGGCAATTTATTTGTTGGCAAAAGATAATTTATCTCATTGTAAGAAATCTTCCAGAAATATCTGAACAACCATTTTCTGATTTTGACTTCATGTGAGAACCTCATTTTTCACTATAAAGGAAATTATCTCCTTTACCATATACCATGTTTTGAAACATAATCTTTAAGGCTAAATGCTCAGCTCAAAATCCTGTAGGTAAATAAACATGTAAAAGAAAGCATGGATTCTTAAGTGGCCAGGCATTAACAAATACAATTTTTAAATAAAAAAGTTTTTGTGAATTTACGTCATCACTGATGGGCCTTTAGGACGAGTTATTCCATTTTTATGTGGTTTTTTTTTTAATTTTCTTTTTTTTTTTTCTTACAATAAAGATTAAAGTCTTACTCCTTTTATGTTTAATAGAAGCTGATACTCTCGTGAAATCCCCTGGCTTCATAGAACTGAATCATTTACCAAGTTACTGTTATTAAAAAAGGAGCCATGAAATCTGGGAAAGTATTCTGTAACTTATACTGAGAATAGCATCTACACCACAAGACCCTGGCCTTTAAACTGACATTCTTCAGCCCAACATAACTTAGGCTGTCAGCAAGCACAGGCCATTGGGCATTCCACATGCTGACTGGGTGAACTCTTAAAGTGTTGGAGGTCAGACTGGAGGATATATAGGAATTATCGTGTGATATTAAGGATCTGAGAGCAGTCTGCTTCCCTTTCATAGTCAGTGGGTGAGTTAGGCTGTCCATGCAGGGGTTCATCCTGTCTGAGGTGGATGTCAGTGACAGAAACATTCCTCTTGGAGAACCAAACTGCCAAGACAGGGCAATCACCACGGGAGGTTATAAAACTTACTTTCAGATTAATGAAGTTATATTTTTAAAAAAAATTAAGGCAAGGAAAAATAGACCCACATTGCTGTCTTTGTTTAGTTATAAATTTGGCATGGATTATTAATTTTTTTGTATATACTCTGGTTCAATACAATTTTGGGGATGCCCTGGAAGTTAAAAAACATTAATACTGTGCCCAGTACATTCTGAAAATGTATTAAATGAAGA